AATATTTTAATATAATGATATTATGATATAATGATATAATGATAACAATAACTTTTTGCGTAAGACAAATATACCGAATGCATGTTTTCTTAACGCGAAATTCCAATGTCTACCCATACGTTTGTTCTATCACTTGGTTATCGGATAATCGATGAAAAATCATGTTCTGAATGAACGACGAAATGTTCACTTTTTGGAGACGCGCGTGTTTGCTCTTTTACTGCAAATCTCGTGTCAAAGAGAAACGAACTCGGTCGGATGGAAGAAAAATAGAATATCACTGAGGGAGAAGAATGATCGCCCAGAACTTCATTAAACTGGTGCCATGATGTGTACATAGCGGTCTCAGTCACGCTAAAAATAGGCGCGATACAATCAGTCGTTATTCATGATAACGACAATTACCTCATATTTCGCATGTCACAAACCCGAGGGATATTCATTAATTTTATCATGGATAAAGTAATAACAATATTAACAAGTAATAGTCTGCGCACATCTACGCATGAATGCTCGATGCGATTTAACTTCTGAACCGAAATTTAACATTAAATTATAATTATACTGTATGGTTTATGTAATAAATATTTGTTAATTTACTTTGAAAATTATAAATTAATTAATAGAATTTACTTCTCTATACTATTTATTTAAAAATTACTTCTGATTAAATAGCAATATGCTTTTTTTTAAAAGTAACTATTCAATAAATAATTAAATTCATAATGATTTTGATGTTTCAGCTTTAATACTTTCTTTCTCAGTTTATCAAACGCCATATAAGTAATTAATGATTAAAAATGTATTGCGTGTGATGTAATTTTGAAATACTATCGTTATCATACTAGCGCTACCCGCGATCATATCAAGGAACATCACGTGAGATTGTGAAACAAAAAAAATGAAGATAGAGAAATAAAAAGGTTGCGTGTAAAAGTTTCAATAAGAAGAGAATAAACGAATTTTTTAAGATAAAAAATAGTCCGATTAGTATTAATTTTATAAATTTTTAAGTCACTTAGTCACTTTCTCTTCACTTCGCGTGAAAGACGACCTGTGTAAATAATCGTTCCCAAGCTTTCGCAAGTGTAATTACCTAACGCTTAAGTCGTCTGTCTTATGGTGGCAGCATAGTTTACCGAGCAGGGCTTAGAAACTCGTTCACGCTTTCTCGATAATTCAAGCTTTCTGTCGAACGGAACTTTCTACGGACCTACCAGATGCTCGTACGTATATGTATGTGCGTGAATATCGGCACAAACATATATCAAGCATCCAGAATTTCTATCGCGTAATATCCTTAGGTTACTGTCTATAAAGCATACAGGGACTTACATGGAATTCGCAGACGAATTACACTTTTCTTCGATTTGAACTTTTGATTGAACTTTAATTGTTTATCAGCGAGAGTTTATCAAAGGGAGATAAATAGTTAACAGATAAATAGTTAACAGAGTTAATAATAATTATTAACTTTGTTAAGGAGAAAATTAAATTACAGAAGTGTAGTAATTGAAATAAAATTTAAAATTGAGTTTAGAATTTCTTAGATCGTACGTGATCCTTAATTTAATTGTATCGTAACTATCCTCTAAGGTTTACCAAAGAAAATCGGGAAGTAGGGAGTACGCGTTACATCCTTCCCTTACACTATACATAATGTAACATCCTTCTCTAATGATGTTACTCGAGAGATATTGCCAGCATTAAATTAAAGCACATATAAAATTTAATAAAAGTTATTTAAATAGTTAAGTAATCATAAAAAATAAATTAATTGTTACTAATTGTCTCTGAAACATTCTGCTTTCCATTTTTTTTAAATGATGACATAACATAATTTTATTATTTATAATATTACAAAATTAAATAAATATGTCTATAGTGTTATAATTTAAGTGTCTCTGAAATTTGAGTATCCCCTTTTCAATTAAGTATTTATTTAACTCAGTTTAGTCTTTTTAATTTAGAATAATTGACGTTATATTTAGGATGGATGTAAAAACAGGAGGGCAAGAGTTTATTCATTAAAGAATCAAGAACTCATTAGCTATGAGTGTGTTAAACAAAGGAAAATTTGCTAATGGTTTGCTATTTGAATCTAATTTGCTGGACCTTGATGGCAAGGATCACTTGTAATAGCTATTTAGCGGTTCCGCGATTCTTGCCTGTGTCGAATACAACCGATGGTACGCCCCCAAGATAAATGAGTAATAAAACACGCTATTATGTTAAACAATTTGAAGATAATTTTTTAGAATGAAATTTTACAGAGTGAATCAAATACGAGTAATTGTAAAAATTCAAAATACTCTGTTCGCATGGATATGCTGAAAAACAAGTTTGAATAGAGGAAAGAGAAGCGTATTTGAAATGAACATTTGAACATTTTAAATATTTACGGCATAATAGGGAGCTTCTCTCTCGGCCGTGCGTTTTTCGAAGCTCAAAATATAGTACAGAAAAATATAGTACAGAAAAATATAGTACAGAAAATTTGATCTTGTTCCTCGTATGCGTCTATGCAATATACATGTTTGATCCATGAGAGAATTTTTTTCAAGCTTTTATTAAGCACTCATAAAATGATATACGGACACAATGATTTGTAATGATGATTCTCCAATCGTTTCAACATTCCAGTTCACGTGGATTTGTTAATAAGGATATAACAAGATGCGTAATGTAGTTGTTAATTCGCTTCTTGTTTATGTCGCTGTCAGTTTCAATTTCCGTTGCGCGTTTTCCCGTATCGTCGATTACCGATGTGAAACGATGGGCATTGGGCAAAACATGAACGTCGATCACTCTCGCAACAAATCATCCATGTATCGCGTGTATGTATAATACATATGAGCTGGATGCACGGGTGAGATATACATTCACGTGGCCCTTAAATTATTTTAGCGTTACCGCCAGCTATTATCCTTGCTTGTTAGCGTCCATGTGCATGCATCCAGCTCTGAATTTCACGAAAAATATCACCTGGCTGCCTCGCCAGGTAAGTTTCGTTGACTCTAGCTCTTGTCACACCAAGCTAGAACTGACCTAGAAAATCATAGGACTCCAGCTTGAACCCGAGACTTTTTTCGTTATACTTGAAAACGAGTCATATTACAGGAATTGTGAAATGTGATAGAGACGATAGTGTCGATAATATCAATACATAATTAATTTATTGATTTGCTTTACTATGATTTTCTCTTTTGTTATTACATTACTCTTTGATCCATCGACAATCATAAAGAGGAAATATCCAACTTTTTCTAGTAAAAATATTTTTAATAAAGAAGATAATGTTATTATGAAGTTAGATAATCAATAGATTTATAAATTGTAATAATATAATATAAGTATATAATATAAAATATTCAATATTCTTTTAGTAGATTATTATTTCGAGGAAACAGAAATGTTGAAAATTATGACCCCCATATTATATAATTATTGCAATTATTTAAAAAATAAAGATTAAAATTGAGTTCATAAGATATAAACATTATACACGTCTCTTTGTTTTATCTTCATATTTTTAAGATTTATGGAATGATTTTAGTTTTTCATTATTTAAAGAACACGCATATTATTTTTTAATCTCTCCTTTATGAAGGAATATATTTCCAATTCCATTATTACCACATTGGAATTAATCTTCTGACATTATAGTTTATGCTTCTGCAAAAACTTCGATGTTCTGACTTTGAATATGCTTCCGTTAGCGTTATAACAATAGCTGCTACTTTCTATCCAAGGCTAACGAATGGCTTTTACAAATCTCTTAAGGGATTTTAATTTCAAACTTCATAGCTTCTCTCTCATCACTCAGTTTTATAGCAATGGAAAAGTATTTTCAAATATAATGAGACTAGTGTACGGAATACAACTGACTTAAATAATAAAAAGATTATAATAAAATAATATGTTAAATAAAATAATATGTTCAAAAATTTGCAAATGCAACTTTTGATTAATATAAAATCATTTTTTTAATGGAAATTTAACTACTCAATTTTTTTAGAATCTACTGTAATTTGTCATATTGAATAATAATGATTTTTTTAATGATTTTAAATCACAATTTTATCAAAATTAAATTGGTTGGATTTATTTTTCTAAAAGATTTATAAAAGATATCAATGATATTTTTGTTAGAAAGTCAAATTAAAAATGAATTCAGTAATTTGAAGTAACTGTTACAGAAACTCAGTTATGTAAAAATAAATTATAAAACTAAGTCTCTTAATTCTCGAAAAATTTAGAATTTTCTAGTGATAGATTTCCTAAAGGTAGAATGGTAATGCGAACGCAAGTTTGAAGCGCAGAAAATAGAAATAGGAAAATAGAAATTTCTAACTATTTCGTGAAATCGTGTGAAGAGTAATTTGCTAAAGAAATCCGTTAAATTATCATGAGTAGGGTTGTAAGGGATACGCGTTTCTGATGATTAATTATAGTTCGTTGAATGAGGATGCTTCCCATGCGAGATTACATATGAGAAATGAATGTCGAATGAATAGGTAGAGTCATACGACGCAGATCGTGTCAATTGTCTTCACGACTTCTTTCCTCTATAAGAATTTACCCATACCAATTAGATTACGAGTATATTTGTAAAACTACTTCACCAAACAAATTTTTTTCTCATAACTTTAAAATTTTACAACCGTAAAATATTTTAACATCCCGAATCCTACAATTAAGATAATAGTTGATAGAACAAAATTACTTTTGCATTATAAGCAAGACTGAAAAATTAATAGCAAAATTCGATTTCATTCAACTTTTATCACTCAGAGTTCATCACGAGTGACGAGGCCGCTTCATTAGCCCTAATGATTTTACTAACTTTTACACACGCATCCACTTTTGCGTTTACACACTCATAAATGCATTAATTAACGCATCATTATCAGATGAAGTTTAATTGCTTCCGTCATGTGTCATGTATATTTTTAATTCTAAATTTTTGAGGAAGTTTTCTGTTAAAAATGAGCGCTTACGTGCCGTTCCGCTGTCCTGAAATGTTTCTGCGATGGTACGCCACTCTTTTCTTGATCTTCGATCACTGGTACAATGGGATTGAAAAGTCAGGTAAACGACGGGGTAAATCGTGCCGTGTTTTTCCACCACGATTCTTTCCTAACGAAAGCTCGTCTCGACATTCACGCTACGAGAGGCGGCATGCTACTAGCCGATTCATCCCCCTTTTGGTTGCGAGGCACCCCCGTTATTAGGTCGACGGTAGCGCAGCCATGTGGAGGGTTGGACCACTATTACAGTCGCTCTAGTTGGCATGTATTCGGATTTGCCGATTTGGAAATAGCTACAAATCGCCTTGAAATTGTAACACATTTTTTCTTTTCATTGTTGCCTGTTCGACCATACGAAGCATTTGCGAATACAAATGCAATTTATAGCAATTTCTCTAATTTAGAATCTTTTTCACTTTTGCAACTCAGATAATTCAGATAGATAACAATATCATAGTTGCACATATTATTTTAATTATGATATAATTTCATAATATTAATCTCTCTAATTTATTTTTTTAATTTTTTTATTAACACATTTCCTGCTTTTTGTTATATATTCGTATAAAAAAACCGGTTATGTTTTGATACATTTATGTGATAATGTTTTTTAAATTATATTATGAATAATAATTAATGTAATATTCATTATTCTGAAACGATCTTTAATATCAACTCATCACTTAAATTAATAGAGAATGAAAACTAATTGCTAATTCATAAAATCAGAATATATTTATTATTATTAAAAATAATG